TCCTTCCTTCCTTCCTTCCTTCCTTCCTTCCTTCCTTCCTTCCTTCCTGCCTGCCTGCCTGCCAGCCTGCCAGCCTGCCTGCCTGCCTGCCTGCCTGCCAGCCTTTGTCTATCTCATGGCAGTGACTCTATATCCGTAATGGTGAACCTATGGCACATGTGCCAGAAGTGGCACGCAAAGCCATTTCTGCCAGCATGTGAGAGGTCGCCCAGAACAGATCCACTGTGCATGCGTGCATGCCCCCTGCCAGCCAGCTGATTATCGGGTATCTGCCATGCATGCACAGGAGGAGACGCGAACACATGCACAGAGATGTGTGTGCAGGGGGTTGCGTGCATATGCGCAGGGGTCAGGGGGGGTCACACACGCATTGCATTATGGGTGCAGGCACACATGAGCATGCACACTTTTGGCATGTGACGAGGAAAAGGTTAGCCATCACTGCTCTATATCATTTTTTCCTTAAAGGTGAAGGTAAAGGTTTCCCTGTCCAGCTGTGTCTAGGGCACAGTGCTCATCTCTATTTCTCAGCCAAGGGAGCCACTGTTGTCTGAAGACATTTTCCTTGGTTATGTGGCCAGCATGACTATACGCCAAGGTGCATGGAATGCTGTTACCCTCCCACCCAAGTGGTACCTATTTACCTACTCACATTTGCATGCTTTTGAACTGCTAGGCGGGCAGCAGATGTTTTCCTTAAACAGAGTTTATTCCTAAGTTATAAATGGCTGGTTTGATGTGACATACTAAGCCAAAATATAGGCAAAACACATGATGGCTTAGCACATTGTATGAACTGAAGCTGACTTTTCCCTTGGAATCTTTGTTAAAGAATTTGCAGAGTTGTTCAGCAGTTCAACCCAATGTCCTTCTGCGAGAAGGAAGTTGGTAGTTTAATGCCTTCAAGTTTACTACTGCAAATTTGGGGGATCCAGATGAGCCAATAAAGATTTGTAAACAAACGAGGCCAGCTTTCACATTTCAAGACGAAGTCCCTTTATTCTTCTACTGATATCCTTTGGTATGGAAACAATATTGGTTTGATTTCACATCATTTAACCACCTTGGAGATCCTACTGTAAGTGAACTTGCTTCTTGTTCGGGTGGTATTCATGTAGGTAGCTTTAATTTGAACTTGGACTCAGATTGGCAACTGATTTTGGTCTGGGAACAGGAATGAGGAAGCGTTTCTCAAATTCCAAGAAACACATAGTTCACCAAACTCATGTTCTGAGATGTAATCTTTTCAAGGTGTCAGCTACAAGGAGCAACAAAGCAAAATATGATGTCTACTCTCTGAAGACTTAATTAACACCCTGTGTACCTGATTTTTTTTTAAAGCTACTGTAGTACCAGTGTCAAACACAGTGTTTTTCAAGCTTGGCAACTTTAAATTATTTAAAGAATTGAGGCAAACGTTCTGGAATTTCTAGAAGTTGAGGCCCACATATCTTAAAATGGCCAAGATTGACAAATGCTGATCTAGTATCGTATTTATTTTCAGGAAAGTCTTGGACCCTCAAACGTTCCCCTAAAGATGAGAAGGAATCTCCTGGAGGATGAGCCTCCCATCTGATAAATGGGTATTTTGTGACTGGCCAAGCATAATATAGGTTTTTTTTTAAAAAAAATTAGGTAAGCCTTCTTGTGTCGCCATTTTGTAAATGTGCCCATGCAGAGAACCATAGAAATGACCTTGTAGAAACCAGGACCAAAGTGTGTGCTAAGCTCAGGAAACAGAAAATTCTGGAAAGGAGCTCAAGCTGAATCCACACAGAGGTGGTATTCAGCAGGTTCTGACCAGTTCTGGAGAACCGGTTGAGGAAAGTTTGAGTTGTTCGGAGAACCGACAAATCCCACCTCTGACTGGCCCTGCCCCCATCTATTCTCTGCCTCTCAAGTCCCAGCTGTCCGGCTGGGTCTTCTTTGGTTACCCTGCACAGGAAAACGGAGCTGGAAAGCAGGTTCGTGGGTGGGGAGGGTATAAGGATTTTGTAGTATATCCTTCCCAGATGTGGTATTCAGCAGGTTCTGTCCAGTTCTGGAAAACCAGTAGCGGAAATTTTGAGTCGTTCGGAGAACCGGCAAACACCACCTCTGACTGCCCCTGTCCCCATCTATTCTCTGCCTCCCAAGTCCCAGCTGATTGGCTGGGTCTTCTTTGGTTGCCCTGCACAGGAGAACGGAGCTGGAAAGCAGGTTAGTGGGATGTGATGGAATTTCTGCACATTTTCTCCAAAGCCTGCCTATGGAGATTTTCAGCCATCCAGGTCATGGCTGTCCCAAAGGTGCTTTTTTCAAAAGGCAATGGGACTTTCTTGTTTTTTCCTCAAACGCTTCTCATCCAAGAAGCTTCTTCAGTTCTGACTGAATGATGAAGAAAGGAAGGATTTGGAAGGCTCATATACATTTCCAAGTGGCATCAGTTACTCTCAGAGAGAGTGCTAATGGCCAGATAACTGCAAGGAACATAAATCCTTCCATTCTTCACCATTCAGTCAGAACTGACAAAGCTTCTTGGATGAGAAGCAAAACATCTTCAAGGAAACACAAGAAAGTCCAGTTTGGAAAAAAACACCTTTGGGTTTCTCCAAAGCCATTTTTGTGCTCTGAAAATTCCAACTAGACTCCTAATGTTGATAATGGCAATGATTTAAAAGTTGCTTATCTCTGGTTTCAGGTCACCTTGGACTAAAAGAGTGATAAATCTCCTAATGTAACTAAGAAAACTGCATGCTTAGTCTCACCAGGAGGATAAACATCTTCAACAAACGTCCTTTGATATCAAGATGATCTCACATGGGTAGTGATGTCATGATACTAATCCCACCCTTAGCCACAGTACTCGTGCCCTGGTGTTCTGATGGCTGACTGTATACATGGATTTTCATATTCTTTTCCCC